CCGTGGGCATGACAGCCTCTGTCCCGCCGTGCCGGGACCGCCGCCCGTCGGTCCCGACCGCTCCGGTGACTCCCGCGGTGTGTTCGCAGGGTCGGTGTCCTGGTGGGAGCTCCCAAAGCCAACACCACGCAGCCAGACATCGTGGAAGGAGGAGCGGTGTACTACTGCGCCTGGCCCGCCGCCCAGTGCCGGCAGATTCCCTTCGATAACACCAGTGAGTAGAAATCGCGGAGCCCCGCGGCGCAGCGTGCGCGCATCCCGCCGTGCCCGCGCTCCCCCTCGGCACAGGTCGCTTCTGCGCTCCCTTGAGTTGTGTCCCTTTGCATTTCACTGGAGAAATCCCGCTCCTGGGAGTCCGTGTACATGTGGGCTCACAGGGAAGGCTTTAATGGTCCCCAGAGAAATAACGGAGTATGAGCTTCAGGATCCGTGCGTAGTTCATCTTAATAAGTGCTGCTTCTTTCTTTAATGCTTTAACGAAGGATGTTTGTGACAGATTCTTTTTCTTTTTTTTTTTTTTTTGAATGCTCAGAATGCAAAACCTATGTCTCTCACACTTCTCTGAATTCTGGAAATAAGAGCATTACTGGCCTTCACTGTCGGTTGTTTTTTCCAGCAAGGGGTTTTCTGTCTGTTCACATGGATGAACTACCTCATGCAGCATACTTACTTAATTCTTTTAAGAAAGCAAGAATTTTATTTCAGAATACTGGAAGCTAGATGCAGACTGATTTAGGCACAATGTAGATAGACTATATCCACTTTCAGAATCCCGAGACAGATGTTTCTTATTTAATTAGAGGGAACACACGTTTTAAACAATTCAAGCTGTTTATGTTTTCTGTTGTCTCTTTATAGGTCTTGAAATTAATTTAAGCCTAGTGTTTGCAGGGACTTTAAAACTGATTTGCTTTATTTAAGCAGATTTTGACAGTTTAATAATTAAGCAAAAGGTATGATTCTTTAGGTTACATTTAATCTTAAAATTTGTGATTTATTTAAATACTAACACAAGACAATTCTGTTTCTTCCTGAGAGCAAAAATTAAATTAGAAGAGCTTGCTTAAATGCACCAAGTAAGTGGTGCAGTTCCTTACCTCTTCCAGCTCCAGCCACACACACACATCCTATTACTATGTTAGTGCCTAGGAACTCTAGTCAAGATGACTCTCCCATCAGGCTGGGCATTCTTCAGAACAGAGTAAGAGAGAGCTCCTGTGTGTGTATGTAGCTACTTGGACATGTAATATTATGTGCAGCATATGATTATATATAAATATGAATGTACAGACATAGACACTATACGTACAATGTCTTTATTGTCATATGTCCTCTGTGTACATCTTTAAAATAAAACCAGTTTAAGATCTCTTCCTGTATTTCTGTCTTATGATTAGATAGTTCATATAACAAAAGTGGAATATTTTATCTATAGAAATTAATTTGGAATAGGTTGGAATAGAAAATTTACAGATCAAATGAAAATACCATCACATTTTAAATGGGTGTTTTGCAAAATGAGTGAAAACCTAGTGGTGAAACCTAGATCATCTGGCTTTCCTGTGGGGAACTCCAAAAATGTTGACTAAAGAGACTCAGGACAACTTGGTACTCTTGGCAGAGACGTCTTTTTGCAGGTGCTCTTTCTCAAATAAAGGCACAAATGTCCTTTTGCAGATATTATGTTTCTAGTGAAGGCACAAACACAGACTTCCAAGTATACCAACAAGGCTTTGGACTGTATCACATAACTCTTCAGCTTTGAATCTCTGAAGTGTGGTTCATTCAGTCTACCTGAGACAGTTGTTCATGTCCTCTGGATAGATGCCTGACTTGAAGACAAAATTAAGCTGGAGAGAGCCCATTGTGTAGATAGAAATACTCTGTGCTTGGAGCAGGGACTGCAGCGTAGACAGGTTTAACAGTATTATCAGTATCTGTCTAATTCTCGTACTTAGGACAGTAAAGGTATCATTTTGCATAATTCTGCAATGGCCAGTTGCCCTTACAGACAGGGATCCCGGGAAGATTTGCATAGCTTGTACCAGCACCCATCCTTCATTGCCAGAAATGTGAAGACCATCTCCGATATGCCTTAGCTGATTCATTTTGCTGAAGTATGGATGTATATTTAATGTTATTTTCTTCACTTCAAAATCTGCTACTTACAAGAGCGAGTTTTCCGTCTTTTCCACTATTCCTTCCAAACAGAGCAGTACATACAAGCTCTAGCCTAGATGATAATACTTCAAATAGTCTGTTACACACAGTTCCTTTTACAGCCTTCGACCACTGTATGCCTAGTGGCACTTAGATAGTCCTTAGTAAATATTTAAGGGTATTTTCAGTTTATGGCTCTTTCTTGTACAGGCGCCTTCTACTCACTATGCCTTCTCCGAACAATATCACTCAGAAATGCTGCTATTCACATTTTATATTTATATTCCCATTTTCATATTTATTCTTACAAACAGAAAATGGCAGTCTGGGTTGTCAAGGGTCATATAGGAAGTTGATGATGATACAGTTGACTTGGAATTTTTTTTTCTTCCTCCACTTCCTTAGCCACAAGATTATCTTTTCTCCCAAAACAAAAACACACTGATTGTTAGAAGACTGGAAGATCAATTCTAACAGCTTTAATTTTGAAGATTAGTTCTTCATGCCTCATAGTAGATTTTGAAAAGTCTTGGAAAGCTTTGGGAATGTTTTCTGAAACCAAATAGAAAAACTACAGAGGCTGCTTCAGGGCTGGGAGATTTCGTTTTGATGCATTTTTATTCAAAGCTTCCTATTTTAAGTACTTTTGCTTCACTCCAAATAATGTCAACTCTTTCAGTTAGTTCACTAAGCACAATAAAAGAAACAAAACTGATGAGTAATTGGAAGCATTTTTAATTAAGATCAGAAGTAAAAATTGAGTAGAACTAGAGAGAAAGGGAGAGCATAATGTAATACTTAAAAGGCAGTATAACCCAAAAAATAGGGAAAGAATTTACTAAATCAGTATTTTTCAGCCACAAGAGCTCAGTGGAAGACTTCTAAATTCTAAAGATTTTGTAAAAGGAAAGCAGATTCACATATACTGTATCCCAGGTTAGATACGCAAAATTGCTGCAAGTCACAGAAACTCTGAAATTTCCACTATAACATAATAGTTCAAGAGTTTAACAAGTCAAAGTGTTTGAGAACCACTGGCTTAAATTACTTGCGAGTATGAGGACTCATGTTTTTCATTTCTGGGAACTAGGTACACAAATTAAGCTCACATGTGTTGCATTCAATGCAAGTTATGTTCTGCCATTAAGGAGGGAACGTATGGCATACTTGGGTGTTATTTGGACTTCTGCTGCCAGAAGTGTGTAAGGGGGCACTCAATTGGTAAGAATCGTATATAACTTTACAGATTATCTCACTGTTTCCACAAAAACAGTAGACCTAATTTCAAAATGATTCCTTTATTTGCAAATGTTTTGATGGTATTTGTATTAATACTATTAATATCTTGGTCCTACCAAATGAAAACGGTGATGATATTCTGTTTAGATGGATTCAGTCAAGAGTCTGGACATTTAAGAATATCATGGCGTTACAGGTGTGGAGTTACTTTCTATTAATTTATTGTCATCTTGTGTTTTATAGGTATTGAGACGTTTACTGAATGAATAGATAGATATGCTCTGTTACGAGGCTGTAAAATATAACAAACTAAAAAGGAACTAAACCTCTCTCCAGAATCATTTAAGACTTCTTAAGAGGCAATGATGAACAAGAACCCACTCATGAGTCAGGGAAGAGAAGGGAAAAAGAAAAAATGTGTTGAGTTTTTTAAGTATGTACAGCTTTAGACAGAGGGGGGGCGCTTGTCCAGAAAGTGATTTGAGGGACCAAGTAATGATAGATGTCTTAGTGAAAACCTTAGTCTTGCTTAGGTTAATACTATGATGCTAAGTGCTGAGATAGAAGCTGTTTTGTTGAAGAGTTTTGTTTTTCTCTGTGAAAAATATAATTCTATTTTAAAAATAACCAAAGTTTTAATTTAAAGAAAATTATTCTATCTCTTGCATGCCATAGAGTCTTGAAGAGAAAATACAAATGCTAAGCCTAACTGGACCTGACATCCTTACACTGGTGTTGGTGGACTGCTATGTTCCCCAGTGGATCGGAGATCTAATGCTGCAAAATTTGCACCCGAAGTCACTGGTGAGGTGCAGCTAACCTCCCCATCACCACACAGGCTGTGACACTGAGAACTAAACTCTGTTCTATGTTTCATGTAACTTTAAAGAGCAAAAGACAAATCCTTACAGTTTGTGAAGCTCTCTTCTTTTTTTGCAGAAACGAAGGTCTCATGAGGGAGAAGACATTACGTTGGTCACTAATGTATACCCAATAGGAACACTCAGTATTCACTCAATTCCCAGTGCAAGATATGAAGATACCTTTAAAAAAGTGTCATTACTTCTAAGTGCCACGTTCTAGCTGTCAAACACAGAATAGGGTTCCTTACTACTGACACTGATACTCATAAACAAGACTACTCCTGAAACCAGCTCTGTGGCACTGTGCATGTCTTAGGACACTCAAGCTGCTCTGAGTGCTGTGAGCAGCTGCATAACTTGTACTAAATGTGGAAATGTGTGTGAGCTACTACTCTATTAGAAAGCTGATTTAGTTAGAGTTAGCAGAGGTTAGTAGGTGCAGCAGAGCGGTCTCTAGCCCATTGCTCTAAGTCATGCCACCTAACTGAAACTGTTCTGCGGGCACTTCTCCCAGATTGTCACTAATCTCTCAGGTCACCTATCTGTTCCTCGGAGTAGCTAATCCAGAGATTTCCAAAGCAACAAAGGTGATTTACCTGGAAACCAACACAGGTAATTAATCCTACTGATGAAATCAATTGTTCCTGACAAGGAAGAAGGGGATAGAGGAGGGAGAAGGATGAAATATTGACATCCTGTAGGATTTGGGCTGACCCATCCATATGCAAGTCATGTATCCGGACATTCCCATATGGGTTGGCCAGTGATATGGCCTCCAGCCAAGAAGGGGCTTTAGCAGGAACTCTCTGTGTTTCCTGCTGTTGATACAGCACGGACTCTGCAGTCCCCTGTTTGCAGTGCTTTAAAGCACCTTAAATTTAGGCACTGGGGCCAAGACTATGGGAAGAAACTGAAAGCACCGCTCCAGAGAGCACAAATGGTGTTTTAACCT